ACACACACACACACGAGCGCGCGCGCGCGCACACGCACTCACGCGCACACATACACGCACACACACAGACACACACTCACACACACACACACACACAGACACACACACTCACAGACACACATATACTCATACATTTTCAGAGGGCTGTCGTGGTCTAAAGGTTAATTGGTATCTGCCTCTTATTCAACAGGTCCCGGGTTCGAATCCGGATAGCGATGGAATATTTTCTTCTCTAAAATGTTCTGCTTTCACATCCTTTCCTGCTCACTAACAATGTTTTGTTGTCTGCTTTTGTCTTCACTTTCTGCCCCCACCCCCTCATCTCCTTTGCCCCCTACTCTGGGCTCCTGACTCTTTCTCCAGCCTTTCTACTGCTACTCCTTGGCTCTTTCTTACTGCTGTCTTTCAGCCACACTTCTGATCTTACCGTAGGTAAAATCTAGCACCTAGCCTTCTCGAAAATTGTCGGAGGTCCCGTTTGAAATTGTGCTCGATTAAGATTCCTTGGTGGTCCAAAATCGATAAGAGTAGGCTTCGGCCGCCACCCGGGCAAAATTAAAAAAAATACGACACCAACTGAAAAGGTTTAGTGTGTCCCGCTCGCTCATTTGACCTTATCAGTTGTGAGCGCCGTAAAACAGTTACAAAAAAACCAACAACAAACAAACAAACGACCAAAAAAAACCCAACCATGTTCATTCATGCGCAATGTCACTCTCCTGGAAGCCCCAAGTCTTAGACCGCAACTTTTTATATGCTATAATTATGCCTACTCTGCTGTTTTTTTGTTTTTGTTTTTGTCCCATGTCCTGATTTTGGACAAATATATTTCCAAATGTTTGGTCACTCTATGCGAGGATTTGGGAATGAGGGTTGTGTCCTGCTCCCCCAGGACAGCCTGGCGGGGATCTAGAGTGAGCTCCAAACAAACTTAACACTAAGACTAATACGCATGTCATTTCCTACATCAGAACATCATCATCGCCAACATAAATAATCATCCTCATGCTCACCATCACAATTACCACTACCGTCACCATCGCCAACACCACCACCAACATCATCATCATCATCATCAGCAGCAGCAGCAGCAGCAGCAGCAGCAGCAGCAGCAGCAGCAGCAGCAGCAGCAGCAGCAGCAGCAGCAGCATCATTACCGACTTATCAATTCCCCTTTCCCATGTTTCGTTTCTCTAGACAACATAGCAATCTTGCACCAATACATTCTTTTTACGTAACCAACAAATACGGGTCTTCTACGCTGTTACTATAATTTTTATATTTCCTTGAGCAGTGTGGTACTGTTGTTATCTGACCTGAACGGCGTCTGTGGTGTAGCGTTTAGGCGCTTCACTATTGCACGCAGGAGACCCGAGTTCGATTCCCACCCGGGAGATCCAAGCTCGATTCCCGAGTGTTGAGAAAAGTGTTATCGAGTACCTCAGTCTTTCTTCTCGCATGTATCCCCCTCAACTGAGGTTTCACCCTTTCAGGCAAGGTCGACAGCCCGCCTCCTTAATGATCCATAATAATAATGATAATATTAATTATATTAATAATAATAATAGGGGTAATATCATAGTAATAATAACAATATTATTATTATTATTATTATTATTATTATTATAATATTATTATTATTATTATTATTATTATTATTATTATTATAATAATAATAATTAGTAGTAGTAGTAGTAGTAGTAGTAGTAGTAGTAGTAGTAGTGGTAGTGGTAGCGGCAGCGGCAGCAGCAGCAGTAGTAGTGATGGTGATGATGTAATGATAATTTAAAAACAAAACAAAACAAAACAATAATACTAATAATAATAAATAATCGAACTTGCTTGTATCGCCAGAACGATGACTGATGCACAAAGCTGTATTATTATTTTTCGTGTTGGCAGTTTTACTACCTGGTTGGCTGATGACCTTTGGCAAAATCTGTGATAGTGTTTCTTTACAGCGATCGTGATGTTCTGTTGATTAACTCGTCACGCTGGCATGTATTTTTGGCATAATAAAAAAAACCCCCAGACAATATTAAGAACAACAACAACATAACGACGGAACGTCAGCAATGATGAATTATTTTAACCGCAAAGCTCTGAAAATGAATCATAAAAAAATAATATATAATATAAATCGGATAACGTTAACACAAAAGAGTACATCCGAACCTATATATTTAGGCTTATACCTTTTTCGCCAATCGTATAAAGTAGAAGTCGGGTCCATGACCATTTTCCCGGGATGACTCCCTTCTGACCGAAACAATATATTTTCTCAGCCCCTCGCTTCATGCCTGCTGAGCGTGTCCTTAGCGTGCACAAGCTGGGAATTTGTTTTTAAATCCGTCACATATCTAATGATAAATATCTTTAACTTTGCAAGAGAAGGAGTGTGCCATCGGTAGTTATAGTAGTAAGTATCCCCAGCCTTTCGCGTGGGACACCGGGGTTTGATTCCCGGCTGGGAAGGAGGGTTACTTTTGCCTCCATTTTGAGGGAGAAGACAGAAACAGACATAAAAAAAAACGACGGTAAAGACATAACGGCTGATTGAAAAAAGTGGACTACATCTTCAACTACAAGAAGAAGACTGATTAATCTTAGTGGTGACAGTAGTAGTAATATAAATAATAATAATAATAATGATAATAATAATAATAATAATAATAATAATCACCATCACCATCATCATCCGGTGCCTTGCCGACTGACGTTGGCAATCATGGACCTCCACTTCACTCTGCCTCACTAGCCATGTTGTCATCTTGTCCATTATCTTTTCCACCTTTCTCCTTGATAATAATAATAATAATAATAATAATAATAATAAT